TTCGTTGTTGCGAAGAATTCTATTTTCGACAAAATCACTATCAAATTATATAATAATGAGATTCTAGCCTCTATCGGCACTTATAGAAATCTAGTAAATCATTACTTTGAAATATTTATCTGGGATGCCGAATGTGTAGATCCTTTGAGATCCACCCATATCCGTCCTAGGGAATTCCCATTTCTAAAGTTTTTGTCAGTAAATGCAAGTCTTGCCGCGCAGTGCTCTATTTCATCTTGCCTCTACTGGCCACTAGCAGCGTCTTCCCTCTCCCCCCTCTCTTGCCCCTGCTCTAAATTCACCCAGTAAAAGAAGAATCAATACTATTTTATCTACATTGTACCAGCATTGGATGATAATGGCATTGTGTTCCTGTCATGAGGCATGCCTGGCATGCGCTGGGCTTACGCCAGTGGACCTTGCCCTGTGTCCCCAGGCTACCAGGCTTGCTTTTGGGGCATGCTGCTGGTCTGGTTTGCTGTGCACATACTAGTATTGCGGCAAGCAGGGATATCTCGGCCGACAGCCATTAGTGTGTCTGGCACTTGGCCGTACCGGTATTCTGACATGCCTTGCTGCCTGTTGAGGAGTCCGGTGGTGTTGCAGCATGGACTGTATCTTGTTTGCATGCGTTGACTTTCTAGTAGCAGCTCTCTCTCTCTCTCTCTCTCTCTCTCTCTCTCTCTCTCTCTCTCTCTCTCTCTCTCTCTCTCTCTCTCTCTCTCTCTCTCTCTCTCTCTCTCTCTCTCTCTCTCTCTCTCTCTCTCTCTCTCTCTCTCTCTCTCTCTGGCACGTCCATCTGCACGGTTTTACCTGTGTATACTGTTGTGTTCTCTTTCTTCTCTTCCTGTGTGTGCTGTGTGATGTGCTTGTTTGTGCCCTTCGCCAGCGTCTCGCCGCATCACTGAACAGAAGAGTCGCCGTGTTCGCTTGTCGCAGCGAACGCAACCGAAGGTGGCCTCCAATGCTGCATCGCTGCTCACATGGTGCCAGGAAATAGCCTCCAAGAATGGTATGGGCTCTCTCTTTCTCACACATACACACGCACACACACACACACACACACACACACGCACACGCACACACACTCCTGTTGGTGTGGTGCTGATGTGTGTGTGTGTCGCACGCTGTGACTAACACTATGTGCGAGTCTGTTTATCTTCCGATCAGTCAGGCTCAGTCATATCTGAATGGAGTGTAGTATATGTACAGGACCTGTATGTTTATCTACTCTCATGCTTAACCGTCCTGATGCCTGTTTGTCCATGTCTAAATGTTCTGTGTAGGCGTTGTTATAAAGGACTTCAGTGCCTCAACATGGAAGAACGGCATGGCGTTCTGTGCCATCCTTCACTACTATCTACCCAAGGCAATGTAAGCCCTGCTCATTTTACTACACTCGCTGATGAATGCTAGTGAAGTACATGTACTGTGAAGTAATTGGCGTGCCTGGCTGGCTTACTGGCTCGCTGCTTCTGCGGTTATGGCTGCTAGCAAGAGTACATAACCCCCAAGAGTGTGCAACTGCCTTCACAACCTCTATACAGTGCTGCGACGGCAGAATTTCACATCACTTGACATGGTTCAAAAGGTTACGCTGGCAAACAGTGCAAAGTGACCACAAGAGAGTTGAACCCAAAGCAGGGCTGCGTACAACCCTGTATCTATCATGCGGAGTGTGAATAATGTGCACGGGTTTATCACGTGATGTGAAGTTTTGCCGTCACAGACCCCATAGCTGGAGTTGCACACTCTTGGGGGTTATGTATTCTTGCTGTTAGGCAGAAGACTGCATTTGCAGTTTTGACTATTCATCGTGGGATCTGTTTACATGGAATTTTTGTCCCGGTGCGAATTGTCAAGGGGTGGAACTGCAATGCGTTCACATGAAGTTTTTCTCCCAAGATGAGTCGACTTTCAGCCGTCATGTGTTTACAACTTTCATCTTGTGTGGCTATAATATTCTTCGTCCACAGGGTTTGTAGGGGAATCTAATCGCTTGTGGCCTAGTTGTGGGCATTAGGACGCTTTTGTACACACTTCCATCTCGGAATGAGTTTCGAGTCCCGCTTGTGTATAATGTTGCATGTATTTGCATTCTGACAAAGTTGAACTCATCCCGGGATATGCAGGATGCCTTGTGTTGCTAGTTGGTAGTTGGTAGTTGGCATTCAGTATGATTGTAATGATTGCATTCAGCATGTACGCCACATCCAGCTAAAGCATGTCTTAGGGCGAGAAAATGTATTCCAGAACAATGTTACTTTGTTTGCCAGCGCCTCGGGCTGACCGCCCAATAAGTGTGAGAACGAAGTTCGACAAGATGCTCGCGCCACCGGTTGATGAATGAAGCACAGCGTGAACGTGCTCGACAGAAACAATTCTTCATTCCATCAGGTCTCAAAAAATTGAGATTCAGCATGTAGTGATTGCATTCAGATTGTTGTGCTGTGAGATATTTGTTGACAGTGTATTAGCATACTAGTAAGTAGCACAGAAGGCTCTGGTAAATCCGGCGAGGCCTTTCACACCATTGCCCTTCACAATCAATACATTGCGGATGATTGGTGATATGAGCAACACCTAACACGTCCTGTTATCCAGCCTTCCAGGCGGTCAAAGTACACTGTAGTAACGAATAAATAAATTATTGGCACCTGAGAGACCGCCACTGGCGCCAGCTACATAGTGAAATCGGCAATACCTACACAGTATAACGTCCTACAACAGCAGAGACCACGGCACGACAATGTCAAAGCAGTGACAAATGTCACACATGCTTCCTCTATACACACAGTTCAGGTCCACTGTGTGTGTGTGTGTAGAAATAGTATGTGCGAAAGTTGTCACTGCTTTGACTGCCTAGAAAGCTGGATAAAAGGACTTGTGTAAGCTGGATAAAAGGACTTGTTGGCTCATATCACCAATGTACCGATGATGAAGAGCAATGGTGCGAAAGGCCTCACCGGATTTACCCCTGACCTCCGTGCTACTTCTGCTCATTTGTCTCCACCTAAAAACCTTAATCTCTTTTCAACTACTAGTAGTATAATTGGTCCAGAAGGCAACTAGACGAGATAGGTGTATTGCTGTGCCACGTGACAAGGCACTGTTGCTTGTGATGTGACCTTTCCTTGGCACCACAGAAAGTTCTCCTCTCTGAAGCCGAAAAATGGACAAGCCAACTGTAAACTGGTAGGTGATTGAGTGTTGGTCCTTCGAACGGTGCTGGTGTGTTGTATGTGGTACCAAGAGTATATAACCCCCCAAGAGTGTGCAACTCCTTATACCCTTTCTATGGTGTACGCCGACAGCGAAAACTCACATCACGTGGTGCAGTGTCGCAGTTGTGCGTTTCCAGCCCGTGTTTAGCGAGCAGCAGAGGAATAAAAAGAAGCAATCTCTGACAGAAACTCACTGCGGTTATGTAAATCCCCAGCATGATCATGGCAGATATTCGGATTGCGCGCGCGCATCCTTCGTTTGTACGTAGTACGAACGTATCTGAGACACGTGATGTGAGTTTTCGCCGTCGGAGACCCCATATGCAGAGTTGCACACTCTTGGGGGGTTATATAATCTTGGTGGTACTGTGCCCGCCAAGCCTCCCTGGTTTAGGCAAAGAGTATGCGCTGCAGATTGCTGTCATTCTACTACATGTATATGAACCGTGGATGGTTGTAGAAAGGTCACTGTTTCCGAACACGGTGTCCTCCACCTTGTTACATGCTGTCAACCAACAACCTGTAATATTATATGACCCCTACCTGGTACCGGTAGTGCCACATGTCCTTGGACATGCATGATAATTAAAATAGAAGAAATCACGTGTCTATCCAGTCGTGGATAGTTGCTTCGTAACTCGTTTCCATGTGATTTCTTCTATTTTAATCATGGCTTTAGTTCATTCTTTGTGTCCATAGCCCATGGTTGGTAGTAACGGTTAAAAACCTCATTGATTGTTTATTTCATGGTTTGGCACCTGGAACCTATTAGTATCGATTTTACTTTTGGTCGCGTGTAGACTGTGACTGGACTTGCACTTGTCAAGTCTCACGCCTGCTCCAAGCCCGAGGGCATAGCTTAAGGATTTCATTTAGCTTGGACAAATGTCCTTCCGTTTTGAAATCTGTTCGGACATGCCCGGACATTTTCCACAACACATTTTCAGGGTGTTTCTTCTTTTTTTTAGTAGTAGTGCTGAAGTATATTCACAATGACTCATTATGTGGACGTATCTGAATTGACTGTAGCAACAACGCGTTGCTACAGGCGGATCAAGTAAATAATTATAGTGAAGTCTACGCCTGAGACCACGGTGTACGTGTTAGTTGTACGATATGCAAGTGGCATTTGGCACGAAGCTCCGAAGAAAGCCCAACTCTGCATAAAAAGGTCGAAAGGTCGCTGCTCTTTTTGACCGGACACTATGTCCGGTGAAATTGAAAACGTCCAGTCAGTGGCCGAAAATGGCCGGAAAATGTCCCGATGTCCGGCCGTTAATCTATGCTCTGAGCCCCGTGCTGTATCCGCACTCTCACAATAGAGCTGCTTTGCAAAAGACTCAGTGTTTACAAGGAGCACAAGAGATGGCGGAAACGCGAACTGGACGTCAACGGCTCAAGATGAAAAATGACCCCGGTCCAACACATCAGCAGCACGTGCATGTATCAACACGTGAAATACACACACACTATAACCAAGTCGAACAGAATTAACACGTGTATTACCGGTACAAGATGAGTTTGAACGCTTCTTGCAGCTTCGTTATATCCCATTGTGGGCTAACAGCCACACCTCAAATCGCACTGCTTTTTACTCTTTACTCACAATATTACTCAATACTCAAATTTTGATTAAAGAGTAGAAAGCAGTGCAATTTGAGGTGTGGCTGTTAGCCCACAATATAATCGGATACTACCGGTACATGCATGAAATTTGTTGTTAGTTTGACAGCATAATACCATGTATGACATTGTGTCCATTGCATGCTGCCACTCTGTGCTTGCTGATCGTGACTCTGCTGTGCCAGGCATTCGAGGTTGCTGCAGCGCACCTCACCATTACGTCCAACATCAACGCGGCGGACATGGGTGAAGCGGATGAGCTGAGCATCATCGCGTATCTCTCGCAGTACTACCAGCGCCTGAGCAGTGCGATACCCGTGAGTAGACATGCATGCAATGCTGCTATCTAACTCCACACTACTGTACAGCAGTGCACCCCGGAGAGAGTACAACTTTACTTTCATGTGTTGTACGTGTTTACCGGGTGTGGTTGTCACTAGTGCAGTCTGACCATGTTCATCACTAAAATGGGAGTGAGTGCTCTGACTCTCCCTCCCCCCCCCCCCCCCCCCCTCACACTCACACAGTACTGGTATTCGAAAGTCAAGAGACTAACAACGAGCAAATATACTCAAAGCAAGCTAGAAAGACAGCAGCGGTCACGAACGTTCGCATCGTCGACAGACAAGAAGACCACCGGAAACCAGGAGAGAAAAACAGTTAAACACACACACAGCGTCTAATCACCACTTGCCTGAAAAGCGGTTGGCATGGTCGCAGCAGCAGCAGCACGGTGAGAGTGCCACTGGAGTTGACGAGCAGCTGATTGATGTGCGGAGAGCATGCATGCTAGCACTCACAGAGGATGGCCTAGCACCTCGGCGTGGCACAAAGTCCATGCTGACATCATCTTGGTATGGATAGGTGATGTCCGCTACAAAAACTCTGTCATAATGGTGAACAAGCTGCCTGAGAAATTCATGGCATCCTCGCCGGCAGTGGTATTTGACGCCGTGTTCCGGCTGCACACGGCACCACTCGCCTCAATTGCACCTTCGCAGCACACCGAGATTTCTTGCTGCACCGATGGCGGCTGCACACGGCACCACTCGCCTCAATTGCACCTTCGCAGCACACCGAGATTTCTTGCTGCACCGATGGGTCTTGCCATGGCTGCAACGGGGAGCTGGCAGCGTACACGTAGTGTTGGATGATGCTAACGCTGGACACAGCCCTAAGAGCCTGTTGCGGCAGCACAGGGATAGTGTCATTGGAGAGAACACGCCTATGCTCAAGACCATCAAGAGCCCATTCAGGCAACCGACCGTCTGCCTCGCAGCACACATTCCACATGATGTGTAAGACGTTATGCCCAAGAACACCAGTACAGTGGTCCCTGTATAATCTGGCACCGTTTGTGCTACGGAAATTCTGCTGGATTTAGGGAGGGTGCTGGATTGACAAATCCGATTTATTACTGCAATGTGCATGAAGAGGACATTTTTGGTCACTGAAAATTATGCTGGTTAATAGAGGGTGGTGGTTTATAAAGTGCTGGATTAAAGAGGGACGACTGTACTCTCAAGTGCTTCATTCCTGTCACATAGAGTAGAACCTCACTGTTATAAAGAATCAGATACATCACCATAACTGACCAATCCAATAGGGTTCGAGTGCAACAGTAACGCACTGTAGACACGAGTTCCATGAAATATTTGAAAATTGCTTTAGTCTAGCTACGAGATAGAGAGCTAGGCAAAACGTGTGTACGGTTGTCGAAAGGGACACCCAGGCAGACTACTGCAGCGTCGAAAGCCACTCGGTGTCAGGACTCTACGCTCTGTCTCGTCTCTCTCCTCTCTCTCTCCTCTCGCGCATACACACTTGCACGCAGCGTCATCAAGATTTTTCTGCATCTCTGGAAGTCAACATTGGTGCGGGATACACCACTTGGCACGACTGCACGTGCACGTATTCCACCAATGACAGAGATCGCCCTGGCCTGGCTAGTTATGCACACATGCTATCTCTGTTTTCTATCTATCTATCTACCTTCATCTGCTGCTCGCTGTCAATGTGTTAACGTTATCTGTGGTGCTCTGCTATATCTGCACTACACTACAGGGTAAGGTAGAGACGAATGAAGCTAGCCGCTTACTTACTCTCAAGCAGACCAGCAGCCAATGGACCTCCCTTAGTGAGCGCAAGTCGGTCACCGTAAGTTTGCCTTGTTTATCTCTCTAGATGATGAGGGCTGTCAGTGTTTCATGCCGTCAGGCCCCGGAGGTGACCAGTGGTTCTGCCTGCTAGGCTCTAGTGTAGGTTTCTGTCTATGTGTGTGTGTGTGTTTTTTTGGTGCCGTAGTAAACCCTGCACGTTTGTCTTTTTAGTGATGTACCGTGCCTGAAACATTCACACACCCGCACACACATACACAGATACACCCGCACACACACACACACGCACCCTTTTTCAGGATATTGACGTGTGTTACTTGATATGTGTGATTTGCACTGGCATTGGCTGCAGTCCATCAAGACAAAGGCAAGCCGAGAAAGTGTACACTCCAGCAGGAGTCGAGAATCTCTTCCAGACGAGTCTTCCAAGATGCCACCTGCTGGCCCCACTCTTGCTGCAGGCGTGGTGTCAAGCAAGGACCGAAATGCCACCAAGACTACCTCAGCTCTAGAGAAGCCTGGAAAGCGCAAGGCACCCAGTGCGCCTCAAACAACTAACACAGGATCAGCAGCAGCAGTAAAACCTACCATATCCGCTCCGGCCTACAAGCGTTCTGTCTCCAAGTCAGATGTATGTATCAAGAGCATATCTACTTGTATAACTGTTGCTCTGTCTGCCTACGTATGCATCGTGAGCATATCTGCTTGTATAATTCTCTAATACTATACGGATGAGTAGGTGATAGTATGTTGGTGTGCAGTGCTGTATTTCTCAATGCAGAAAACTTAGTTTGAGGGCACCCAGGTGGTACTGTTAGAGCTGGCGTCCAGCATTGGTGGTTCCGCTTCTTACGATTGTTCCGTAGTCGGAAATCTGTTTGTGTGTGTGTGTGTGTGTGCGTGTGTCTGTGTCAAATTGATGCGGCGTGTCATGCGGATGCGGATGCGTGTTCATTGTCTCGCACAGACATGTCATTTCTGCAGCGCACGTCTGTATGTGGTTGAGCGTGTCTCGGCCGAGGGCTGCTACTTTCATCGCCGCTGCTGGCGCTGTGAACAGTGCAACACCCAGCTGGTGCAGGGTTCTTATGCCTACGCCAAGGGACAGGATGGCCAGGCGGGTACATTCTACTGTAAGGCCCATTTCAAGCAACTCTTCATGTCCAATCCCAGTGCTATCGGCTACGATCGTGCTAAGGTGAGCAAGACATTTGTGTCAATGCAGTTACGAGTATTGCTAGTGCGGCGTTGCATGTTCTGACAGTATGACATTATTGTATTTAGTGCTGTGTCATGTGTTCTAAGAGTGTGTCAACGCACTAGTTATTGCTACTGTGGTGTTGCATGTCCTGACAGTAAGTGCAGTACTGCAGTATGTCCTGACAGTGTGCAGTACTGCAGTATGTCCTGACAGTGTGCAGTACGGGAATGCATGTCCTGACAGTGTGCAGTACTGCAGTACGTCCTGACAGTGTGCAGTACTGCAGTATGTCTCGTGGTAATTCTGCTGTCAAAACGGGTTTATTCAAACAATACGACATGGAAAGAAGGAAGAAAACCAAAGATACAAGGGATGAAACTCGACGATGAAATCAAAATGAAAATTTGAAAAAAAGTCTAATCCAAAGAAACTCAAGGCAAATGTTACAAGGTTGTGTAAAGGATTCAACTCAATCTCTAGACGAATGCTTTGAAAAGATGTGAAGTGTGCATGGATGAAAATAAAATAAATAGAAGTAAAAACCTTAATGTGATTCTGCTAGTAGTATACCTGGCTCTGTCAACTTTGCAATTTACTCTGTTGAACATTGACTTGTACTCAGTAGCAAGAAATTCTGAGATGTACTGCTTTGTGACTTTCTTCCACTAGACTGTGTGTGTTGGGGGGGGGGTGGTGGTAAGGCTCTGTAGTGCTTGCTGACCGCTCATCACCCACATTGAGTACTCCTGACCCGTTGTCAAGGTAACCCCGTGACCCTCTTACTTGTACGGACTGTGTCGCCGTCGTCACGCTCACAATCTATCTGTACGCGCGTGTGATGCTACAGGCTGGACCAAGGGAAGCAACATTTTCACCTCCAGCACAGCGTTCTACGGTAGAGCCCTCTATTCCTGAGGATCCCATCTCTGCACCCAAAGCAGATGAACGGCCGGTTGCTCCCTCAACCTCCACAACCTCCACTGGTCTTGCTCCTCGTCACAACAAGGGAAGGGCTCCGTCCCCACCCGGACTTGTGCCCGGTGTCACTGATCGTGTACATGCCAATTCACCGCTGCCTACTGAAAGGTGTGTGTGTGTGTGTGTGTGTGTGTGTGTGTGTGTGTGTGTGTTTGTGTGTGTGTGTGTGTCATGTGGCACACATATGCATTCTCATGTGTACATCCATGTATGTCTGACTCTGCATGTGGGTGCTCGTGTGTTTGTACTGTGGATCAGCTATTATTCAGTCACGAATCAGTGCATATGCCTTTTCGGCCTAAAATATATTGCGGCTGAAATTCAGTTTGTATTGTAGTTACAGTATGACAGAGCACAGAGGCAGGAGGAGGAACAGCGCAGGCTGAATATCTACTGCGGGCGAAAAGAGTGTTGGCCCCCGGAAGCTGAACTGTAACCACTGAAGTCTGTACACTTACGGTGTATGTTGGTGTGTATGTGCTTGTGAATAAGCAACGAGGGGACAAGATCTTTATCATCGTTGAGACGTATTTCCCTGATGAAGGTCTTATGAAAATCGGTTAGGAAATGCGAGGACTCGTATCTATTGTTTCATTTTGTTACTGCTACGTACAGTGTCCGCCTTGCTAATTCTGCATATGTGCTTGTGCTTGTGCATATGCATGTTGGTGTGTATGCGTATGTGTATGTGAACAACAGGCTGAGTAAAATGTTGGAGGCGAATGAAGTTCTAGAGGAAGGCGAAGATGACGGTAAGACCAGTGGCTTGAAGAGCAGATGTTTGTGTGTGTGCAGTGTGCCCTTCCCTTGTAATGTTACAAGACCTGGTAAGATATACATGTGTATCAACTATCAAGTACTACTGAAATAGCAGTAGCCTCAGTGCAAGTAGCACAGTTTCATGTTACATTGTGGATGTTTTTTTGCTAATGAATTTATTATGAACAAGGTCACGGAATGCAGAAGATTCGGTTTTCTGATGGAGCCACATGTAACGAAACTTGGCCCGACAGCAGGGACGTGTTCATCCGCTTTCAATACCTGAAGTTTTCCAACTGTTTCTATCTTCAGAACTGTAATTGAAAATGACTTGAACCGTGCTTCTGTGTGATTGTGTGTTTGTGATTGTGTTTGTGTTGTCGCTATTACTGTTGGTGGTGCTGGTGCTGGTGGTGAAGATGTCCATGACCAGGAAACTGCCCGCAAGATTGAGCTCAAGCAGGTACACTACTGCTGCCTGTTCACGGCATATGTGTGAAGTGTGAACCCAGGCATATGTGTGAAGTGTGAACCCAGGCATATGTGTGAAGTGTGAACCCAGGCATGTGTGAAGCTCTTGAGCTCTGCCGCATTCCCAGGTCGACATCTTCTAATCAGCTAGCTGCATGCGGAGACTTCAGTCAGACTTCTAATCCCGGTTATGATTACTGGTGCATGCCGTATTTTACCGGTTATAAGTCGACTTTTTATGACCTAAAACCGAACTAAAATGGGGTAGTCGACTTACAGCCCGTGTTTCACCAGGAAATCGAGGCCCCGAGTATGGGGAGTTGACTTATAACTGGTAAAATACGGTACGTTTTTGTTTTCCTTGCGATTTTTTAAACATAGACCATCATCATCAACAGTATTTAAATATTAGAGAGGTTCTGCACAATGAAAATTCGAACGAAGTTTCGCGACAGGCCTTGCGAAAATGTGTATGAATTTTCTCACAAACTTTGTGTTCTGCACATTTTCGTAGTTTGCACTTGCCATGTGCACGTACGCCATGACCCAATCTCACGAAACTTCCTGCGAAAGTTCATTTCGCGTTCCCTGCAAGTTTCGCGTCCAAAGTTGCGAAAGTTCGTGCGAAGTTTCTCACTTCGTGACGTAGAGCGAAAGTTCGTACACATTTTCGTTTTGCAGAACCTCTCTATTATCATGAATGGAACCTTTTTCACTCACAGATTCGTAGAGCTCAATTCCGAGTAATATGCGAGCTGTTCTTATTACGTGTGCTATCATCAACATCCACCCTGCTCACGAGCAATGTTCTCCGAACGCCAGTCTTCTCACCGAATCCCTTATCCTGAGGTTGCTGACCCATGTGCTTATGACTGTGACTGTGACTGTACTTGCTTGAACAGGCGCAATACCGTCGCTTGCACGCTGCCCAGCAGATTCAGTTTGAAATGGGCTTGCTGGAACAGCAGCAGGCAGAGCTCGAGGAGGAGTCGAAGGATGTTGAAGAAGCTTTGCGCGATGATAGCAGTAAGTTGTGCTACACTGTCAATGCTTCATGCATTGTGTTGTATGTTGTGTGTTGTATGCTGTGTGTTGTATGCTGTGTGTTGTATGCTGTGTGTTGTATGTTGTGTGTTGTATGCTGTGTGTTGTATGCTGTATGCTGTGTGTTGTATGCTGTGTGTTGTATGTTGTGTGTTGTATGCTGTGTGTTGTATGCTGTGTGTTGTATGCTGTGTGTTGTATGTTGTGTGTTGTATGCTGTGTGTTGTATGCTGTGTGTTGTATGCTGTGTGTTGTATGTTGTGTGTTGTATGTTGTGTGTTGTATGCTGTGTGTTGTATGCTGTGTGTTGTATGCTGTGTGTTGTATGTTGTGTGTTGTATGCTGTGTGTTGTATGCTGTGTGTTGTGTGCTGTATGTTGTGTGCTGTGTGTTGTGTGCTGTGTGTTGTATGCTGTGTGTTGTGTGCTGTGTGTTGTATGCTGTGTGTTGTATGCTGTGTGTTGTATGCTGTGTGTTGTATGCTGTGTGTTGTATGCTGTGTGTTGTATGCTGTGTGTTGTATGCTGTGTGTTGTATGCTGTGTGTTGTATGCTGTGTGTTGTATGCTGTGTGTTGTATGCTGTGTGTTGTATGCTGTGTGTTGTATGCTGTGTGTTGTATGCTGTGTGTTGTATGCTGTGTGTTGTATGCTGTGTGTTGTATGCTGTGTGTTGTATGCTGTGTGTTGTATGCTGTGTGTTGTATGCTGTGTGTTGTATGCTGTGTGTTGTATGCTGTGTGTTGTATGCTGTGTGTTGTATGCTGTGTGTTGTATGCTGTGTGTTGTATGCTGTGTGTTGTATGCTGTGTGTTGTATGCTGTGTGTTGTATGCTGTGTGTTGTATGCTGTGTGTTGTATGCTGTGTGTTGTATGCTGTGTGTTGTATGCTGTGTGTTGTATGCTGTGTGTTGTATGCTGTGTGTTGTATGCTGTGTGTTGTATGCTGTGTGTTGTATGCTGTGTGTTGTATGCTGTGTGTTGTATGCTGTGTGTTGTATGCTGTGTGTTGTATGCTGTGTGTTGTATGCTGTGTGTTGTATGCTGTGTGTTGTATGCTGTGTGTTGTATGCTGTGTGTTGTATGCTGTGTGTTGTATGCTGTGTGTTGTATGCTGTGTGTTGTATGCTGTGTGTTGTATGCTGTGTGTTGTATGCTGTGTGTTGTATGCTGTGTGTTGTGTGCTGTGTGTTGTATGCTGTGTGTTGTATGCTGTGTGTTGTATGCTGTGTGTTGTATGCTGTGTGTTGTATGCTGTGTGTTGTATGCTGTGTGTTGTATGCTGTGTGTTGTATGCTGTGTGTTGTATGCTGTGTGTTGTATGCTGTGTGTTGTATGCTGTGTGTTGTATGCTGTGTGTTGTATGCTGTGTGTTGTATGCTGTGTGTTGTATGCTGTGTGTTGTATGCTGTGTGTTGTATGCTGTGTGTTGTATGCTGTGTGTTGTATGCTGTGTGTTGTATGCTGTGTGTTGTATGCTGTGTGTTGTATGCTGTGTGTTGTATGCTGTGTGTTGTATGCTGTGTGTTGTATGCTGTGTGTTGTATGCTGTGTGTTGTATGCTGTGTGTTGTATGCTGTGTGTTGTGTGCTGTGTGTTGTGTGCTGTGTGTTGTATGCTGTGTGTTGTGTGCTGTGTGTTGTATGCTGTGTGTTGTATGCTGTGTGTTGTATGCTGTGTGTTGTATGCTGTGTGTTGTATGCTGTGTGTTGTGTGTTGTATGTTGTGTGCTGTGTGTTGTGTGCTGTGTGTTGTATGCTGTGTGTTGTGTGCTGTGTGTTGTATGCTGTGTGTTGTATGCTGTGTGTTGTATGCTGTGTGTTGTATGCTGTGTGTTGTATGCTGTGTGTTGTATGCTGTGTGTTGTATGCTGTGTGTTGTATGCTGTGTGTTGTATGCTGTGTGTTGTATGCTGTGTGTTGTATGCTGTGTGTTGTATGCTGTGTGTTGTATGCTGTGTGTTGTGTGTTGTATGTTGTGTGCTGTGTGTTGTGTGCTGTGTGTTGTATGCTGTGTGTTGTGTGCTGTGTGTTGTATGCTGTGTGTTGTATGCTGTGTGTTGTATGCTGTGTGTTGTATGCTGTGTGTTGTATGCTGTGTGTTGTGTGTTGTATGTTGTGTGTTGTATGTTGTGTGCTGTGTGTTGTGTGCTGTGTGTTGTATGCTGTGTGTTGTGTGCTGTGTGTTGTATGCTGTGTGTTGTATGCTGTGTGTTGTATGCTGTGTGTTGTATGCTGTGTGTTGTATGCTGTGTGTTGTATGCTGTGTGTTGTATGCTGTGTGTTGTATGCTGTGTGTTGTATGCTGTGTGTTGTATGCTGTGTGTTGTATGCTGTGTGTTGTATGCTGTGTGTTGTATGCTGTGTGTTGTATGCTGTGTGTTGTATGCTGTGTGTTGTATGCTGTGTGTTGTATGCTGTGTGTTGTATGCTGTGTGTTGTATGCTGTGTGTTGTATGCTGTGTGTTGTATGCTGTGTGTTGTATGCTGTGTGTTGTATGCTGTGTGTTGTATGCTGTGTGTTGTATGCTGTGTGTTGTATGCTGTGTGTTGTATGCTGTGTGTTGTATGCTGTGTGTTGTATGCTGTGTGTTGTATGCTGTGTGTTGTGTGCTGTGTGTTGTGTGCTGTGTGTTGTGTGCTGTGTGTTGTACATGTATGCTGTATGTTGCATGTTGTGTGTTGTGTGCTGTGTGTTGTGTGCTGTGTGTTGTACATGTATGCTGTATGTTGCATGTTGTGTGTTGTGTGCTGTGTGTTGTGTGCTGTGTGTTGTACATGTATGCTGTATGTTGTGTGTTGTATGCTGTGTGTTATGTGTTGTGTGTTGTGTGCTGCATTGATAATCATAGACTAACAAGCTACATGTGTTAATGTGGCTGTTACTACTTCGAAGTAGCAAGAGTACATATCCCCTGGGGTTACTCAATCTGCGGACGGAACTGTTTCGTCCTTTGTGCACTCATAAGCGCAGCACTGACAAAATGAGGCCGAACCTAGTACAGTGCGTATCGGTTATAGTGTGGTCATATACAAGAATAAACTGCCTACAAGAATGAACACTCATTTTTTCATAATCATAACACATATTTTATGTGTATATTTATTCTTACAAGCAGTAATAGGGAGGTTTCGCTCTACGAAATTACGTATGAAAATAACGTATGAACTGCACGGAATTTCCATACGTAAAAATCAGAGCTGTACGGTTTCGCTCTACGTGATTTCTCCACGACTGATCAACATGCGTTGTTGCTTTGGAGACGCGTTGGCTGTATGCGCCCACCGCATGCACCATGAACCGAAACCGCGTTTTCCATGATATTTTGCACGTGGTGTACGGTGTGTGTACCTTGTGTTTCGCGCGGCTTGAATGTTGCCATGGACAAATGCGGAAAATGCGAAAAAAATATTTCGAAAAGTCCTACGGAGGACCCAACGTAGGAAAGAGCTTTCCTACGGAAATCCGTAGAGAGATTTACGTATGAAAGTTGCCCTCGCTCCCCGGCGCGTACGACATACGTATTTTCATATTTTCAGTATTATCGCATAGTAGAATATATCGGCCCTAAGAATGGATTTTGTGTAGCAAAATATGCCAGATTAGTGCAAAGTGTATCACCTGTAGTAATAAGATCTGTGCTCTGTGCATACTCAATACAATAATATTGAACACGAAAAGAGAGTTATGCCCAAGGGAGCATTGGAGAATCACTTTTTCTGTCCAGTCGGACTCTTTCTTCCGACTTCTCTCGTATCTGCTGCTGGCCGCAGTCGCCTAGCGCCTACAACCGCGAGTCTCATCCATGTACGTGTGTATCATGTGTACGTGTCCACATGCCAAACGTGCGCGCATATGATAATTATGTCATAATGTCACACGTGCATATGATATGTCACACGTGATTTATCGTGTGTAAGAAATATCGGCAATAAGAATCAAATGTCGTTTTTCAAACACCCATGCTATAACCGATACCTACTGTACATGTAGCAATGTAAAATGAATTTTCCAAAGCCAGATTTAAACCAGGGCCGAACGTATATTGCCAGAGTGCTCAAACTGACAAGCCAGTCAGCTCTGTGTAACACCTGGGGTTATGTACTCTTGTTACCAGTATACAAGTGGCTTGAGCATAAACTCTTTCTGGCCCTGTTTCTGAACAAGTGTGTGTGTGTGTGTTGTGTGTGTGTGTGTACGTGTGTGTGTACGTGTACGTGTGTGTACATGTGTGTGTACATGTGTATGTGTGTGTGTGTGTATCAGCTTTGCCAGAAGACCACCAACTACTGATGGGCGAGTGGATGGCGATTGTAAATGAACGCAACTTGCTTGTTCGCCACGAATGGGAACTAACCCTCCTGTGAGTACAGCTGCTGCTGCTGCTGCTGTCAGTGTGTTGGTTGTTCAAACCAGTAGTGGCCAGTCATAGGTTATGTATCTCTTTGTTGTGACAGCCTGATACCATGGTATTGATGCAGGAGAACTTGTGTGCTGTTGAAAGTTAATAACTCTATGGGGGTGCTATGGGGGTGCTAAGCTACAGGAGGAGTGTCCTTGGAACTGCCTGACGAAAACTTACTGCACGTATAGGCAGCCGAGTATCGCGGTTGATGCTTAACTCGACCAAGGCCCTTATGGCGACTGATGCCCATTGCAGGTCACAACATAACGTACCAATGTGACAACATGTTAATCTCTCTCTCCTCCCTTCCTCTCTCTCTCTCTCTCTCTCTCTCTCTCTCTCTCTCTCTCTCTCTCTCTCTCTTTCTCTCTCTCTCTCTTTCTCTTTTTGTCTCTGGATCATGTGCAACTTTAGTCTCTGCCACATTGCTTTGCTGGCATTTGTTTTGCCTTTATTTAGTACAATGCATGTATTGGGCTTTGTTACACGACAGGTTCAAGGATCTTCAGCTGGAAGATATTCGACAGCAGATAGAAAATGACCTGCGAAAACGTGGCAACATTCCAGGTAGTTTTTCCCCCCTCCCCCTCTCTCTCTCTCTCTCTCTCTCTCTCTCTCTCTCTCTCTCTCTCTCTCTCTCTCTCTCTCGCTCGCTCTCTCTCTCTTTCTCTCTCCCTCTGTCTGTCTGTCTGTCTGTCTGTCTGTCTATCTGCTTTCCCTGTTGTACTATGATATTTCATGTAATGACTGTGTCCATGGTTCTTGCGTTCTCATAGCATGTACACAGTATTATCATGCTGCATGTCAGTGTCCTCGTGTAAGGGGAATGAATGTCTTCAGACAGAGATCCCTAGCTGCCACACCAACTTTGAAGTAGCGCTATTCAACGTATGCCAATTCGCTGCGTTCGTGCATGCGTTTATGTGCTATGTGTCTTTTGCAGTTGTGCACTCTTAGCTGGACGTTGCATGTAGTACCTAACTAGAATGGTTTTTTCCTATTTCTTTCCTTACCACAACCGCAGAGAACAAGAAGTCTAACAGAGACAAAGCTGAAGAGGCGCGTCTACTCGAGCAGCTTGTCGAGGTTGTGGAGAGCAGAAACAAGTTGGTGAATGAAACCGAGGAGGAGCGTATACGGTCAGTGTTCCTTTCCTCTCCTTTTTTCTTCTTTTTAAAACGAATGATTCTTGTTGCACTGTTGACTGGCTTTTCTTGTTTCCTGCTGCTTCCGTGCTCTGCTTGCTTGGTCGAGCGCCAACTGGAAGTTTGCGATCTCCTTTCACTCACACGACCTGAAGCAATGTTGCGTCTTGTGCCCTTTGGACTGAATTGCACTACAGTCCATTCACAAAAAGATGGGCCCTGGCTCTGGCGAGCTTTTGATGGGTTTTCCCAATTCAGTCTTGGGGCAAAACCTGGCCGAAATCCTATTCTGGCTATGGCTTGCTTTTTGGAGAAATAGACTTCAGAAACATAATTGGAAGAGGATTCCACAGAGGGTTGCAGAAAGAAATTGTAAAAAAACTCAACGTTTGACCCATTTATGGCCAAAAGCTAGAAGTCCATCTTTTTCTGAATGGACTGTAGATGAGTTGATTGAACACTTCTTGGAGATGAACCAGTGGCGTTGCTGTAATACTATACAGTATAACCTGCTACTAAAGACCACCGTGACTAGCGACCAGCCTGGTACTACAGACCACTTCGCCAGGCACGGACGGTCTCACATTCATGTATGGTTGTGCGGTGCAAACCTCTAACTAAGGACCACCTGCCACTAAAGACCGCTTTCTCTGTCCCCAAGGGGTGGTCGTTACAATGTAGTCACAGGTTTCACTGTACTTTAGACATGCTGACGAAAGCGGACACCGTTTCCCCATGCACGCCAGCAGAAGAAAGCACATCTTCATCATGTGATTGTAGGCTTGAGTGTTGGCTGTTGGTTGCCTCCTGTTTTCTGCTACTCTGCTCCATGCTTGTAGGGACATGGAGATGGACCGTGCTGTGGAGGACACAATGAGAAAGAGAGGTGAGCTCTCCTGGCAGCTGCCATGGCTATAGTGCTATAGTGCTATAGTGCTAGTATGGTGCTATGGTGCTGTGGTTGCTGCTGCTGCTGCTGCTGTTAGTAGCATGGTTGTCATCATTCTGTCTACATGCTACTACCAGTCCTCCCACCATACCCACGCTACTGCACACACACATGGAGGATTAGCATACATCTGCAGTTGGAACGGTGCAGCTGCTCAACACTCTTGTCGACCTAGCGTGCTTTCAACTGCAATCGGGTCAATGAAATCCAACCCCACTATGGGTCAATGAAATCCAACCCCACTATAGGTCAATGAAATCCAACCCCACTATAGGTGAAATGTGCCGTGTCCCGGCCCGGGAACAAGAGTGTAACGTTATTTTGTTCCTTGGCCGCTTCGTGCCAGGTGTTGTACCTTGGGGGGTGTCAATGGCCCCAGCTGAATCTGTTATGAATGACAGACAGTAACTCTTTATCCACCATTACAACAACCGACAACACACCAACCACCACTATAATTGTATGGTAATAATAATAATTCCCATCACATCTCATGGCCAGCCGTATTGATTATCATGAGCCTCACTTGTGTTGCGTGATCCGTTGTGTTTGTTTGCGTTTGTGCAGGCTATGATCCAACAGCCAGGAGGTCCACCCACATTGGCTGCTCCGGTAGCCAAACACCACCAACTCCTCGTTCCAATCCTATCAAAACTCTCTTGGGCCGCTCCAGACTCTCAAAAGAACAGCCCTGACGAGGGGCAGGTGAGAAAGACGGAAACTCAACGGAAATACCACCGATGGTAACGTCACGTTTGGCCGGCTATCAACGGCGTAGTGTATTGTTTCCCCTTGCCGCAGCAGCAGCAGCAGCAGGCATTGCTCATTAGACACTGGTTACATGGTGTACTATACATCGTCATGTACCTTGAATGCCCCCCCCCCCCCCCTCTTCCCCTTCCCCTTCAGTTTCAACCACCGTGTCACGTTTGTTCCACATTACGCTCGGACTGGCGGCATCAGTAGCGTCAACAGGGCGAAGGCGCGGGGTCGGTGCTAACAGTCACATATGCTGTCTTCATCACGCACTGTTCTTCGTATGCGTGTGCTGTCGAGGCCTGAGCACCACTGCAGCTCAGACCACAAGTGCTTGTGTGCGGCACTGTACGCGTACACAGTTCAGCCTCTGGGTGCTAGCTCGTATTCTTCGTATTCGCCAGCTATGTTAGCTATGTAGCTGACTGGCTTCTTGTTAGTACAGTCTCGGTGCACTCGTACTGTACATGTACTGTGTGCTCTGCTACTTCAGCAACTAACTCATGTTAGCTGCATATGTGTGTGGGTGGGTGTGCATTCGGGCTCTTCGTTTTCAGAATTTATTTATTTTACAACCATTCTAATACCAAGAACAATCAGGATGCACTGTCCGGATTTCTCCCTTGCACTCATCTATTTGTCAGGGTGTGGGAATGTTCCCAGCATCTGCAGCCTATCCCTACTCTTCTCTATAATTTGTTTAGGTTCCTGCTGCCGTCCAGAGCTGGCGTGTTATGGGTTGTCTTTGCAGCTTCCTTCCGTCCTCATATGTTTCTTTGTCTAACCAAACAGAGGCGGACATCCAGGCTTTAGGTTTTTTTTGCGAACTTGCCTATTTTTTGCCACTTTTTGCAGCGTAATGTCGGAACGATATTTCCTATGATGTGTAGTACTCAGTAGGTACAACTTGAAGGATCTTCGGAGATCTTGTTTTTCTACAGTTTTTGTACATGTCCATCTATTTTCAGCTAGACTCAGAGAACCTACCCTGTGTTTTTTTTCTTGTTTTTTTTTGTTCAATTTCCTTGTCATAATATCAGCATTCTGTTTTCTATTCCTATAATTTTTTAAGTGTAAGCACTTGTAGATCAAGTACAATGTAGTTCGGTCTAATTTTGAAATACCATTCACTGTCGAGTAAACGGATGGTTGGTCTTTGCAGGAACGGCAATGCCTCGATTGCTCTGCCAGTCTCTTGTGTCGAGTTCATCATTCCCAGTACCAACTCTACACCTAGTACCAAGAGTATAACCCCCCTCGCCTGGGGGGTTATATACTCTTGCTAGTGCCTGGGTCACTGGGTCTTGGTGCTGCATGCTGCCCATGCAGCTGGGGAATTAGCCGGACCATTGCGTCATTGCTGATCTGCAAACTGTTATACAATCATGTACATGTGTACTTAGAAGTTGCGACTTCGGCGGTAATAGTCATTAAAAAAAAAAAGTAATTAGTTGATTGTCAACTTCATGTACTTGTGTAGTTATAATAATTATAACTACAGTCCATTCAGAAAAGGTTGAGCGCTGGGTCTGGAGAGCTCCCGTGTTTGGCGATTTTGTGGTACACTGTGCAGTGCCGCGCGATTCGAAACTTGAAAAAGGGTCCAAAAAGGCACCTCAACTGGGGTTCAAACCGCAAATGTACTGTAATGCAAGTGGAGTGAACGGCCTGGATTTTCATGGTTTTCACCCAATTCAGTGCTTTGGGGGCAAAGCCTGGCCGAAATCCTATTCTTGTTATGGCTTGCTTTTTGGAGAAATAGACTTCAAAAACACAATTGGAAGAGCATTCCATGGGGGATTGCCAAAAAAAAAGGAGACGAAAACTCAAAATTTGACCCGTTTATGGCCAAAAGCTAGGATATCAACATTAATTTTTCTGAATGGACTGTACACGCGTGTATTACATGTTTTCCAGCTCCCGAGGAAGGTTTCGTATGCTTCATGCGCATACACTGCACAGGAACAGTACACGTATACAGGCATGGAGTCGTCAAGTATTAAATATTTTTATATTTTTAAAAGAGGTCGGAGGCGGATAATACTTTAAGAACGAAGGTAAGTATTAGGTCGCAAGTATCCACGCAAAGGGTTGTTATCTCATTATCGTTACGCTATATAAGTTTTAGTCTTTCCAACTTGAGCCATTCCCTGTACAATCCTTAATTGATGAGAAGGGACCGAAAACGTTCGGATACTTTATGACAAGTGCCTTACTTGACTGGATGTGTGTGTTTGCGTGGATACTAGCGACCTAATACTTACCTTCCTTTTTAGTTTTGTCACGTGATTATAATTTATGTATTATTATTTGTCGCACTCGCTGACTGTATAAGATCTGGTTACGTTGGCGGACAGTTAGTCATAACTCGTAACATTTTGTCCTTCTCCTTTTTCACCATTATTATTACTATATAAGTGGTGCTCTTCAGGCACAATCTTCCTCAGCCTACTCAAGCTCAACTGATGAGGGGTGAATTCCCCGAAACACTGTGTATTGAGCAGGGAGTGGTGCTTTCTTGCAGGTTTGCCGAGTCGAAGGTTCGATGGACTTCTCGTGTGCTCTGGATGGCAGTCGTGAGTCAGTCAAGTGTCAAGTAAAGTCGGCGGAATAGCGCGAGCTCCGGTGTGGGGAGCAAACCTTTCTTACAAAATCATCGCCGAAGTCGCAACCACTACTTCGTACTATTTTTTTTTTTTTTTTTTTTTTTTTTTTATTATGGAGTGCAAGCCTCTTTTACGGGCAAAAATTAACACAATGTATTAAAATGCAATACAACATACACTGGAGAAGAAATCAGGAAAATAAAATATGAGCTCAAAAATGGAACGAAAAATAGCAAATAGAATCAAAAGTTCAAAACTCACGATGGAATCAAACTCACGATGGAATCAAACTCATGATGGAAACTACAAAACCCAATGAGTTGGAAAACCAACCACAGAATTAGATATTGGGAATAGAGTCAGACACAACAACGACCGAAATCAGTACACCAAAAATCTGTCCTACAAAAAAACAAAGGAACAAGAAAAAAAGGTGAGTGACTACCGTATGGCGGGAAATTCGCCTGTCGTGCGCATCTACGGTTATCAATTTCAACCTGGATCAAGCACAGTGCATCATGTAAACGATCCAGTCAATCTATCTGTCCACAAACATTTAATAATAATAATAATAATAATAATAATAGCACGACATTCCACAGGCGAATTTCCCGCCATACGGTAGTCACTCACCTTTTTTTCTCCACCGTACAGACAGACGCGTTGATTTCCATGCAAGCACAGCCTGACACTAATATTAGGGAGTTCAGTTCCGGTCACTGAAAAGCGAAAAGTGCAGTCACAGCTCGCCTGTACAAAGTGAATGGGCGCCTCGTGGCTGCAGTTCGAGATGCAGTTCGCGGCCCGAGTATCTTCTCCCGCGGCCTTTTCGGCCGTGTCGATGCTATCATTAGGTAGCTGAGGTCATTACCTTTCCAATGGTGCCACACATGCCATGCTTCCAAAAATAATGCCTCCGCGCTTGGCGCGGGTGCACTTCGAAGTACTAATTTCGACCAGATCCGTACTCGGCTTCCCGAGGAACACCCGATTTTCGTGTTCAGCGGCCTCGAATTAGCCTAAACCAAAAGGATTCTACAACATTGAGGCTCGCGCTTTATCGCCGTAGAAGGAAAATGATCACAGAAACCAGCCCACGGCGATTTCCTGGTGGTAGACGAAAAAATCGAGTGAACTGCGCGCACACTGGTAGAAGCAGTGACGGTGAAAACGTGTGACTTGTGCAAGTCGGCGCGCACGGCATGCGTGCACACTGCATGCATGCACACATCCTGTATCGCCATGTATGCACCAGATAGTGCAGTGCTGGACGGAAACCACACGGCTCCCATACATACTTGCATTTACTTCTGTGACTACTTTCTCCCCCGTTTTCCGATCTTCAATCGACTATAACTCTAGATTGCCTTGGAATTTTGGGTTCAAATTTTCACAGGTTGTTTCTCGATTCTTCCCGGTTTAGAAAAACTAGCGTTTTATGCAAAACTCGCAAATTTGATTTTTCAATTGAAGTCCCTACTAATATGCAAAAGGCTGGCCCTCCTACTGTGGACTACAGACTGCTGCTTTTCATCAGAACTAAAGTCAAGAGAACTCGATCTTCTTGTGCGCGCTCCCCACATATACATGTGCACACCAGGCCTCACATTCCCCGATCACCAGAAATCGCACAGCGCCTTACTGTGAACAGTGTACGTACAGGTGGTTATTAGTACAACACGGAGTACACATACCAGTACAACACGTATGGTTGATAAATATGGTGGTAAAGACACACCTGGCAATATGGCGGTAAACACACGCCTGCCCACACACGCTCTCTAGGCTGCAAAGTGAACTGATGGTGGTGGTGGTGAGAAGGAGAGCTCTGTGCCAGAACTTTGCAGCCTAGAGAGCGTGTGTGGGCAGGCGTGTGTTTACCGCCATATTGCCAGGTGTGTCTTTACCACCATATTTATCAACCATAAGTACAGCTGCAGTGGTGTCTTCAATTTCATTAGTACAACACGTCTACATACCGGCACATCCGCTCCTATTGCACTGCACGAAAAGTGCACCAACATAAATAGTACTAAATCCAAAACAAATAATGCATAGACAATTGTTAAAACAAGAGTAAACTGAAAATAGAATAGGTGGGCCGTGAAGGAACAGTAGCAGCAGCAGCAGTAGCACCCTATAGTCAACTGATAGCTCAAAAGAAACAAAACGAACAGGCAAAGCGGAAATGGGAAAAAGACGAAGACGCTAGATGCAAGAGCAGCAGCTCGTTGCATGGAAAATAACTTTGTGTATGTTGAGAGTTTTCACAAATATCCAGGCATGGGAGGTCGTGTTAAAATAAAATGACGGTATGTACAGAGTAAAGGCCGCACGGGCAAGGGGTGGGGGTAGGGGCTGGGAGACCAAAGTGGTATTATTAAATACAAGGGCGGCAACGGGGGCATGACACAAGATGTGTTAAAACAGCATACACACCCATCCACAAACAGAAACTTCTACTGGACGGAACAGCAACAGCAGCAGCAGCAGAAACAGTTTGAATACAGAAATCTACAAGCTGTTGGGGTGACTAATCCGAAGCATCAGCACAATCAAGGACGAACCCAATCTGGAGGACATGGTGATGAATGCAGCAAGCACCGTTGCAGGCTATTCGCACGTTATACTTTCAGCACAAGTGCCAGGGTTTGGAAACAGAGGGGATGTGTGTATAATACATATTTACCACTCTTCCAGACCATCCCAACAACACAATGTCTTGTGTGCTTGGCTATGGTGGACAGACAGTGTGTGCTGCAGTTGTGCCAAAGCTTCCGCACACATGCATGGGACGAAAGAGAGAGAGAGAGAGAGAGAGAGAGAGAGAGAGAGAGAGAGAGAGAGAGAGAGAGAGAGAGAGAGAGAGAGAGAGAGAGAGAGAGAGAGATGCGCCGATGCACATCTAGATGAATGACTGCGAGCACGGCTCGACCCAAAGCGTACTGGAAACATACTGGAAGTGGATGATTAGGCGCTCAAACGTGTCAGCACCAAACGCCCGATACAGCTCATCCATGGTCCAGCACAGACGGCCAACACAGTAGGGGTGGACACAGTATGCCTGCAGCATGTCAACAAAGCTCATTTCTTTTTTGTCGACCGACACACGCAAGCGATTGATGGCAGAATTACAGCGCTCCCGATCCGGGTAGCCAGCCACAAGGCGCAAGTATGGCGATGATAGGTTCTTGACAATACGCTCCTTATTGGCAGGTAGACTGTAGATACGTCTTCTTGCTTCGCCAGTACCAGCATCAGCATCGTCAGCAGTGGCTGTAGACTGCCACTGCCACTTGGCCCTTCCTTCTTCAATAGCCTCGCGCAGCATCACCTCATGGAGAGGGTTGTGTGGCAAGTCATCCGAGAACAAATAGCTGCCCGAGTCCTTCGTGTGCGAGCTCCACTCCATACTGATGTGCGGACAGAGAACTTCGGTCGGCTGATAGTCAGTCTTGTAGGCCAGCTTGCGGTTTGTCGGGCAGTAGTTGCCCAGGTAATAGTAGCGAATGTCAGCTCCCTTCTTGTTGAGCTGCTGTGCAAACTCCAGCTCCGTCAAACAGCTGAAGACGCCCAGCGAGAGACGGGAGTACTGCTTGTCGATATCAAAGAACATGTAGATACTGCCGATAGAGTGGGGCAACACGTCCACCACGCTGACACCGGCCAGGTGCTCACCCACCCAGTACTGATAGTGGAAAGTACCATACTCGTACAGGCCGTCCGCAGACATCTCGTGTGCCAGCGGCGACTGCAGCAAATGCGAGCTATAGGTCTGCTCGCAGCAGAACTCGGACTCGTGCCGCTCGACCTGGTAGCGCAGATAGAGTGCGTAGGACTCCTGCTGGTACTCGGGCTTGACCACCTTGACGCGTACGCCCGCCTGCGCTGCCTTACGCCGCACGCGTGCAAATGACCGCGAGGAGTTGGGGTCAAACTCCTTGACACGCACGCGAATCTCGCTGGTGTTGCACTCGGGGGCATGATTACTACGGTACTGGAAGAGCTGGACACCACCGCGACGAAACCAGCCACGCTCGGTCAGTTTCTCGTATTCAGGTGCCGACAGGCTTGGGAACGTCAGAATGGCCTCTGAGGCGAGGCCGTTGCGACAGTTCGGGCACATGTGCAGGGCCATGCCTGACATGCGCGTGCTGACGAGTGGGTGCTGTGGACGCGGGTACGCCATGAGACTGGTGCCGGGTCCCAAACCAGTGTACTTCAGCACTGCCTCCTGATAGACCTTGGACTGAAGGCTGGTGTGACCTCGCTCGCGAAACGAGTCCAACATGCGTACACGCTGCCACACCGAGGAGCAGAAGATGTTGGAAAGTAAGCTCTGGCCACATTGAAAGAGGTCAGTTCCACAGCTGTCTGCACGTTTGGGCGAGCGGTCTTGCACCGCTTTCAAAACGGAGTCTTGCAAGCTCTCCAAGTGCACCACGTCGTTGATGTCCCCTTCATCCATCACCAGGCGTAGCATGACCACAATAGCCAGTGTGTGCAGGAGAGACGAGAAGCGGCCGCACTGCAGGGCAAAGTGAGCGGCCTCGTGCAGCCGCGTGGCGATCAAGACTTGCCGATGCGTGCGATCCGTTAGCGACAGTCCGGCGACACAGAGCAGCATGACCCGCGTGATGTTCTGGTCGGCCAGGTGATGGCGCATGACGTTGGCCAGGCCGTGTGCTATGCCCGCGTCGATCAGCATACTCTTCACCGCCGTGCTGCTCATCAGGACGCATAGCGCTGAGCAGATGCGATGCACGACGCTGGCGTGCTCTGGCCGCCGGCGCAGGTGCCGGATAAAGAACAGATGTACGCCGTCGTTTAGCATGTCGCGTTTCTGCTGTGCATCCTTCACGCTGGCCATTCGCACCACGTTATCTACGCAGATCTCCACTGCCGACGGCGAGCACGACAGGACTGTGGAGTCGCCGTCAAAGTCGGCAACATCCATCAGAGCCTTCATCCAGCCGCACTGGTACGCCACGGACAGCAAGGAGGAGTCGCAGAGAAGGTTGGCTAGCATGCTGGAGATAGCGTACTGCTGGTGCTGCGCCAAACTGGACGAATCCTGTCCGGTGCTGGACAATGTCCGGAATAGTGAGCACACCAGCGTTTTCAGTGAACTGCGCACTAGCTGCTCCTTGTCCACAGACGGATGCAGGGCCACGCTATACAGCACTTGCAGCACATCAATGGCGAGAGACTTGGGTTTCGTAGACTCCAGATACCCACTGATAAGAACTTCCACCATGCGATACTGCAACAGCAGCGGAACGTTTTCGGCAGGGTCTCTGGGCTCCGCAGGCATCCTGCTGCTGCTGCTGTTGCTACTACTGGCATCAGCGGTGAAGAGCTCTTGGCGAATGGTGTCAAATGTCATGTTGGCCATGCGATTGATGAGCACAAAGCTAGGTCTGTCCATGGTGAGCATGGCCATGGCAGAGGCTAGTGGCTGCAACACACTATCCACACTGCTGTTGTTGAGCAAGACGGCGCTTGCAGTCTCCATGCATAGCGACTCGGACGTAACATCGCCACTGCACAGCACACACAGCAGTCGCAGCATGCGAGCGCTGTCCGTCATCATCTCCACGGCGCTGGAGTGCATGGGGATGCGACGCAGCGTGGTGGTCATCAGCGGCACGTTTCGGGCCAGCATGACGGCACACTGGGGCAGTGAGCACAAGCGTAGCAGTACACGCAGAGAATCGTAGCACAGCTGCGTGTCATCGGCATGCAACTGCTCGATAGCACCAAGCTCCTGCAATAGATCAGCAGAGACTGAGCGGCCCATCTCTGGCACCTGCTCCACATCAATGGCCAAGAATAACCGCAACACGCAGCTGATGATGTCAGTGTTCTGCTTATCCAGCACTAGTAGAGCATGCAACGGTTCAACAAGCTGCTCGAGTACATCAACAGGCGGACAGCCGCCGCGTACAATGACCCGGCGGAGCGTCTGCAACACGGCCACGACAACATCGAGCTGAGAGCGAAAGGCACCGAGCCAGTTGACGAGCAGGCGTGCCATGTTGTCCAGAAACAGGCGCGACACCCTGCTGCTACCCGGCGGTGCCAGGCCATCATCGACGCGCTGGCATAGTAGAAGAACAGTCCCAAAGTCACTGTGGATGATAGGGTCACCCTGTGCTGCCGCTGCTGCTGCTGCTGCTGATGTCGACGACTGGTTGCCCGCGGGCAATTCATTGTCGCGCAACACCAGGAGGAAGTACGGCAGCCAGTGCACATGTTCTAAGACTATAGGCGAGCTGCCAAACTGCTGCAGAGCAAAGAGATGATACTGTTGCAGTGATTGGGCTTGTAGGAACTCACTGGCTCCCTGCTTGCCCAGCACCAGGTGAGATGAGTGAATGATGGCGGGCATCATGGCCAGGATGCATGCTTGGAACGGCAAGTCGGTCAGTTGCACGGCAGATGAGTAGTGCGCAAGTAGCCGACTTATCGACTGGTACAGGTGTGGCGTCAGCACAAGAAAGCGCGTGTCCACGTCATTCAGCAGTACTGCCAAGTGCAAGAGTTCCTCCAGTTCTGCAGAAATCAGTACACCCTCCGCATGGGCTGCATGACTGTTGCCATTAGCGACACTACTCTGCTGCAGCACATCGAACAGCCGTGACAAAGCACTGCACATGCGCAGAGTACGAGCACGACACACACACACACACACACAGACACACGCATGCATACATACAAACGCAAAACACGAAACACAAACCAATAAATATCTACGGTGCAGCTTGAGCTTCACCAGGTGTGGACGAAGAGAATGAGCACAGTGCCCTTGATCCCAGAAGCATGGATCATGCTGACACACTCTGCTTTGTATGCAGTTACAAGCCTGCATGAAACAAACACCCCATACTGCACAGAGAGCACATCTCTATACAGTAAAACTTATGACTAACGACCACCCCTTGGGGCCAGAGAAAGCGGTCCTTAGTGGCAGGGGGTCTTTAGTTAGAGGTCTGCACCGCACAACCATAAAGTGAACGTGAGACCGTCCGTGCCTGGCGAAGCGGTCTGTAGTACCAGGCTGGTCGCTAGTGACGGTGGTCTGTAGTACCAGGCTGGTCGCTAGTCACGGTGGTCTGCAGTACCAGGCTGGTCGTTAGCCACGGTGGTCTGTAGTACCAGGCTGGTCGCTAGTCACGGTGGTCTGTAGTACCAGGCTGGTCGCTAGTCACGGTGGTCTGTAGTACCAGGCTGGTCGCTAGTCACGGTGGTCTGTAGTACCAGGCTGGTCGCTAGTCACGGTGGTCTGTAGTACCAGGCTGGTCGCTAGTCACGGTGGTCTGTAGTACCAGGCTGGTCGCTAGTCACGGTGGTCTGTAGTACCAGGCTGGTCGCTAGTCACGGTGGTCTGTAGTACCAGGCTGGTCGCTAGTCACGGTGGTCTGTAGTACCAGGCTGGTCGCTAGTCACGGTGGTCTGTAGTACCAGGCTGGTCGCTAGTCACGGTGGTCTGTAGTACCAGGCTGGTCGCTAGTCACGGTGGTCTGTAGTACCAGGCTGGTCGCTAGTCACGGTGGTCTGTAGTACCAGGCTGGTCGCTAGTCACGGTGGTCTGTAGTACCAGGCTGGTCGTTAGCCACGGTGGTCTGTAGTACAGTGGTCCCTCTATAATCCGGCACCATTTGTGCCACGAAAATCTGCTGGATTAGGGAGGGTGCTGGATTAACAAATCTGATTTACTGCTGCAATGTGCATGAAGAGGACATTTTGGCTACTGAAAATTGTGCTGGTTTATCGAGGGTGCTGGATTATAAAGTGCCGGATTAGAGAGGGACGACTGTACCAGGCTGGTCGCTAGCCACGGTGGTCTGTAGTACCAGGCTGGTCGCTAGTCACGGTGGTCTGTAGTACCAGGCTGGTCGCTAGTCACGGTGGTCTGTAGTACCAGGCTGGTCGCTAGTCACGGTGGTCTGTAGTACCAGGCTGGTCGCTAGTCACGGTGGTCTGTAGTACCAGGCTGGTCGCTAGTCACGGTGGTCTGTAGTACCAGGCTGGTCGCTAGTCACGGTGGTCTTTAGTTACAGGTTTTACCAAGAGTAGATAAACAAGAGTGTGCAACTCCGGATCTCTCCTGCACAATCTGCAGATACCCCCGCCCACGGCGGAATTTTTTGTTGACGTCACCTTTTTTCAGAGAAACGCGGACTTTGCCGCAGAGCAGTGTGAGAGCACGTGCTGGGCACCGACCTTGTAGTGTAAAGCCCGGCCAATTTGGCCAAGTGCACGAGGGAAACCTCTCCAAAAGGCTCGCAGCGTGTGCGTCGTCGAAAAGATTACGTCAACAAAAAATTCCGCCGTGGGCCAACCCATCCGCGAGTTGCACACTCTTGTTTATCTACTCTTGGTTTTACTGTACTTCCAAGCAGACAGGTAGGTGTAACGGTATTTCTACACAAGTCATAATGAAAGCTGAACCATGCTACAGGGTCTAAGATGACCCGACACAAAGAAGGCAAGTAGTCTGTATCCAATACATACTTGTATACTGCAATTGCGCTTGTAGGCGAATTCGAACCAAAGTGTAATTCGGGCACCCAGTGCTTGCACGGCCCTTGGCGTCCAGGAGACTAGAATGAATGCTACTGGCAATCCATTTTTCGGAACAATACAGTCATTTATATGTACCCATACAAAACACAGTGATGGGTGTGTATCAGCGTCGAGCCAAGGGTGTGCAACTCCACATAAGCATTAGTCATGACTCACTCATGACTCATTCTCGGGGAAAAAGAGTTATTGTCGTGATGCAATCGACTTGATTGTACAGAAAACCGCATTGCGTGCACGCGTGGCAAACTTCGCATCACAAATGCACACATGGACAATTATGCCTACATCATGACAAATAGTGTCATTCTGAAAACGAGTCATCAATGCTACCCGTCGGCAGTTGTACACTCTCGGGAGCTACCGCAGTTGCTGGAGTATAGCGTGCACTTTGTACTATTCCAGGCCCCAATTCGCAGGTGCGCACTATGCTCCGAATACGAAGTTGCATGTACTTCGAAAAGTAGTGCAATGCATCAAACTGCTGCAAAGCTGCCACCACTGACCTGACGCAAGCCCTACATGTAACGTTATGTGTGCATTTCTAGTGTCTCCTGCCAGCTGCACTCCTACTGCATGATGGGTGCAAGACCCCATCAGTAGCACGTGCATTGTACACATGTACACATCAATAACATGATGGGAAATTCTGACCATGGTCGCACTGCAGTACTGTCTTTATGATCGATAATGCTCTCGAATCAAGGCTGCGAATTATACGCCGGATATACCTTGAATTGCCAAAACATTGCTCAAACATACGAAATTGTGGTTGCGACTTTGGCGATGAGTGGTGAATTCCCCGAAACACTTTGTATTGAGCAGAGAGTGGTGCTTTCTTGCAGGTTTGCCGAGTCGAAGGTTCGATGGACTTCTCGTGTGCTCTGGATGGCAGTCGTGAGTCAGTCAAATGTCAAGTCAAGTCGGCGGAATAGCGCGAGCTCCAGTGTGGGAGCAAACCCATTCCTAAAAAATCATCGCTGAAGTCGCAACCACTATTTTGCACTGTTGTGCCCAGTGTGGGCTTGCGACCAGCTGGTTTGGAGGTGACAGCGTTGTGAATGACCGATGGTCCTCTACGTCTGTTCTCACCGTCCAGCGACACTGACTCGCGCTGCTATCTGGTGTTCACGAGGTGTTTGTCGCGCTGGAAGTGGAGCGTTTCTGTAAGTTTGTATCTCTGGTGATGTTTGTGCCTGGAGAGCACTATACAGTACAAGTGGTGCTCTTCAGGCACAATCTTCCTCAGCCTACTCAAGCTCAACTGATGAGGGGTGAATTCCCCGAAACACTGTGTATTGAGCAAGGAGTGGTGCTTTCTTGCAGGTTTGCCGAGTCGAAGGTTCGATGGACTTCTTGTGTGCTCTGGATGGCAGTCGTGAGTCAGTCAAGTGTCAAGTCAAGTTGGCGGAATAGCGCGAGCTCCAGTGTGGGAGCAAACCCATTCCTATTGTTCAAAAAGGGGCAAAAAAAGGGGGTGCGCGTTATACTCAGGTGCGCGTTATACTCCGGCAAATACAGTACATGTACATACCAGTACTCTTGGTCTACGTCAATTCAACAATTGGTCATACGCTGCTCATGGTTGCCATGACCACAGCAGTGCTCACTACAACTAGCCTCGCGGTCTTTGAGCTAGGAGGAGAGTAGCCTTATTTAGCCATGGCAATAACGGTAATGGTAAAATAACGTTCGGTACATGTGTGTCACTTATTACTCCATGGGTTCTTCTGCATGATGCCCTTATGTCTAGCTGTGAACCTGCAAATCCAGGATATTTCATAGTGCAATTTGGGCTCCAATCAAGACATTATGTGTGCACATAATTTTTCATGGAGTTTAATACAGCGTGCGGAACTTGAGATCATTTGACCGTGTCGCGCAGGGCTGTTCACAGTGGAAGCTATCTTTTGCAAAAAATCTACATTGTATAACAGAATACTAGTCGCCCAATAGATGATATGCCAAATAACGCGCAACTAGACTTGAGAGGGCATCGCACACAAGTTGCATACACATTATACTACAATGTGTACACGGTAGTCCCTGAGCTCTGCAAGAATGCAAGTCACAGGTAACCGTACAACTTTGAACTTTGTATGCAACTACTCTGCAATGCCCTCTCAAGTCTAGTTGCACGTTATTTGGCATATCATCTATAGATCTACGTGGAAGTCTGTTTCCAGTGTAAATTCAAACAGCCTCAAGAAAGTTGAGACAATACTTGTACGGTATCGATATATCCTGGCTGCAATATAGGTATGTGTGCGTGATAGAAAAAGAGAAGATGATCACTAGCACTGCCGACTTACCGAACATCAGTCAGCTTTCGCGGAAGAGGAGAAGATGGACGGAGGTTTTTAATGTGCGTGACCATTTTCTCCAAGTCCGCAATCGGCTGTCGACGGCTTGATAAGCTCCCATCACTCTCCACATTCAGCTCAGACAACATGCAAGAGGATAGGGTTGTATCACCTCCATTCACTAAGATTCCTTCCATACCTCTCCTCTTTCGTCAAGTGGATGCCTACACAAGAAGGGCGATTCGGCTTTGGTGTCACATAATCCAATTTCAAACTAAGGTTCTCAAGCAAATTGTCCGGCCACAGGACGGCCGTGGAAGCGCCATCCAGAGTCAAGCAGGTGATTCAGCCTACCAGCACGTTGAAATTGAGGCACCATGCACTAGAAAAGTAACAAACGACCACGAGAACGAAATAGTACAGTATCTTGAAAGCAAATTCACACTGAAAGTCGAATAGTTCACATGATGATTTACAGCTATGATCTTGTCATTTTTAAACTGCATGACGTCACCAACATGAAGTATGCGCATATCTGATACAGTCTACAGCAGGGAGTCGTATTTTACGACTCCCTGGTCTACAGCTAGCCTAGGAGTAGCAGGGAGTAGTACAATCATGTAGATCTACATGTAGATCTACTACAGGTCTACTCTCCATATAACGTAATCTCTGGGACCACGCAAAAATTATGTTATATCGAGAGTTATGTTATGTAGAAAACCGTGTGTAAAATACAAGATGCACCTCAAAATGAAGGGTATTACAAGGCGGGTTCAACCGTGCAAACATATACACACTGTACCACCATCGACATCAGATACCATCAATGCCGCAGAATATAATGCACATAGGACTAAACTGGCTAGCTACGGCTACACTACAGCTTGATTGTAGTAGTAGTAGTAGTAGTAGAATTTATTATTTTGATAGGGAAGGCCCTACAGACGTTGCCGTCTTGTTACAGGGAACCCTAAGTGCTCTTTACAGAGCGAAACAAAAACGGATAGATGCTCAACCTGACGACACGAGACAGGCAGAGAATTCCACCTATCAGCGCCAAGGAAAGAAATGGAGAACATGCCATATCTAGTGGTAGCAGCGGGCAAAGAAAGTGAAGAGAATGATTGCCCTCTAGTGCGCCTCTCGGTGCAAGTAGCAGCCGACTGGAGGGTGAACATTGAGGAAAGAAGAGGACTTGTAAGCTGATGAATACAGCGGAAAACAAAAATAAAAAGCCTCAAGTTGAGACGAGATTCGAGGGAGTATAACTTAGCGTGCCGCAAAACAAAGACAGTGGGGGTACGGCGAGGGAGACCAAAAACCTGTTTCATGCTGATATGACTTAAAGTAACAAGGCGAGAGTATAAAGATGGTGTAAGACAGTGAGCATACGAGTTGCTGGCGTATTCAATAGTGGATTGGATGAGGGATAAATAAAATATTCGCTTAGTTGTGTGATCTACTGTACGGCGGCAGCGGCGGAATGCTCCTATCTTCTTATAAACAGATGTACACACATGGTTGACTTGATCCTCAAAGGTGAGGTGTTGGTCAATAATGAGGCCAAGATAACGCGCTGTGGCAGAAGGTCGAATATCGACACCACCGCATGCAATGGTAAGATCCGGCGGAAGAGGCAGAGCCTTCTTCCGAAGCACCATGAACTTCGTTTTCTGGGCATTCAAGATGAGACCAATGCTTCCAAGGTACGTATTTAGTCTGTTCAACTCACTTGTCAACTTGTGCTGAAGTTCTCCAGTAGACTGACAGTGTATATAAAAGGCGATATCGTCAGCATACTGTTGGGACTCTGCGTGGCGAAGTACTCCAGGGACATGTCGCACGTACAAAGAGAATAACAGAGGCCCTAGCACCGACCCTTGCGGAACGCCTCGTGTACAATGTGTCTCGTCTCCTCTGTTATTTCCAATTTTCACCTGTTGTCGTCGACCCTGGAGATAGCTGGAGAACCACTGTAGTGCTACTCCGCTTATGCCAATAGCTTGAAGCTCGTTAAGTAGTAGTTCATGGCGTACCCGATCGAAGGCCTTGCTCATGTCCACGAGTACAACCCCGCAATACTCGCCCTTGTCCACACTCATCATCCAGCGGTTTACTGCGAGAGTTAACGCATCCTCACAGGAGTGCCCTCTGCGGTAGGCGAATTGCTCGTCTGGGAGAATACGAAGCTCAGCGTGATCTTGAAGGAACCTAATCATTTGCCGATGTACTACCTTCTCAAGGATCTTAGAAACAATCGGCAAAAGTGAAACGGGGCGATAATTCGACGCTTCAGATTTGTCCCCTGACTTGTGGACAGGACACACTGTAGCCAATTTGTAGACGTCTGGCACCATTCCAGTACTCAAGGACTCGTTTATGATCTGCGCTATGGGACCTGCAGCGGCAGGCTCACAGAGGCGTAGGAGCAGAGGAGGAATGTCATCCGATCCAGCTGCCTTGGCACAGTTCAAATGCTTCAACAGGTCGCTTATCTCCAGAGCTGAAACGGCACGAAATTCTTTAAAAGATGGGGCGTCTGCGTCAGCTGTTGTCGAGATGTCAGGTATTAGGTTGCTCAAGGGTGGGCAAGGATTAGGATCAGTGACAATGGACGCAAATGCCGCGCACGTGAATCTACGTTGTATCGAGAGTGTACACGTCGGGGACTGCGCCGTAGGGTGCGTTATGCCGAGGTTTACGTTATGTAGGACTAAACTGCCTAGCTACAGCTACCGCTTGATCATACCGTGCACGTGAATTTAGAAAAGCGATCCTGTCAGCTTTTCTATTATTGTGTTCACATGGCAAGAAAAACGACACCGCTATGCTACGTAAGTTTCTACGTAAGGTGCTCGGTATTTCACTTAGGCTACGTAAGTCTCTACGTAAGGTGCTCGGTATTAGATCTACCAACGGTACGGGTGGTAGCCGCGTGCGGTGCACGTGCATGGCAGACATTGTGTTGCATGCATGCAGTGCAGTCCGTGTTCGAACGTTCGGATGTGCATGCGCGAGGAACTTCCTTCTTTGGAACTGCTTCTTGTATGAGCGGTTTCGTATATTTCGTCTCCTGGCCTGGCTTATTTCGTTTCGGCGCTGCTGAGACCTGCTTTCGCGGAATATTACTCAATGACAGGTGAGTTGACCAGTTCCCTTTGATTTATTTGCTTGTGTTGACTCTTTCATTTACGAAAAGTGTGCTGATTTTGGGCGGAATACAATAAAATTAATAATGGAAAAGCTGACAGGATCTCTTTGTTTCCTTCGATTCATTTGCTTATACTCACCCTTTCATTTACGGAAACGTGTGCTGATTTTATTCGGATTTAGATCCATTTTTATCTCTTTGCCCTTGTCTACAGTGTGCGAAGAACGCGAGTTCACCTTCTTGACGGTAAGGCTTATGTTAGATGGGTTGTCGAAATACTCATATTCATTGTACATTGGTACGTTACAAGTAAGGCACTGGTCAGTGACATACTATCGTTGGCAGTTCCCAATCTGGAGGGAAAGGTTCAAGGACCCATTGACCGAGTTTGCAAAATATATTCGCATATCAGGGAAAATCTCCATTGTGGAGAGGATCATTAACTTGTTTGCTTCATGCGAAACAAGCCAATGGGTGCAGTCTCGTCTCGTGAAGATCTTGTACTTGTATGATTGGATTTGTTTACTGGAGTCTGGGCTGTTTGATTTATTATTTGTGAGTACCGCCGAGATTGCACTGCCCCAAATAAAGTTTCGTGCCGCCAAAGCAAGAATTACGATCTGCAAACTGTTTGTAGTACATGTACCTGCAAGAATGTGCTGTACATGTATCGTACTTTCTCTGTTGCTGTTTCAGTTGCCGTCATGTTTCTAAAGAAAGGTTCAGTAGAGAGGTTCTGCAAAACGAAAATTCGAACGAAGTTTCGCGACAGTCCTTGCGAAAGTGTGTACGAATTTTTGCACGAATTTTGCGTTCTGCACATTTTCGTAGTTTGCGCGGGCCAAGTGCACATACGCCATGACCCGATCTCACGAATTTTCCTACGACACTTCATTTCGCGTTCCCTGCAAGTTTCGCGTCCAAAGTTGCGAAAGTTCGTGCGAAGTTTCGCACTTCATGACGTAGAACGAAAGTTTGTACGCATTTTCGTTTTGCAGAACCTCTCTAGTGACTCATTTGTTTCATATGAGACGAGTCAATGAGTTGGTGTGGCTTAGAATCATCTTTCGCTGTAGAAGAAATCTATTCGTATGTCTATTGGAGAAATAATTGTATTCACTGGTTATAAAATAGGTTAAGGCAAACTCACAGAATAAATACCATCGGTTCCTTGGTGTTCGTCCTAAAGAGGTTCGACTGGATATCATTCATACTCACCAAAAGATGTGTAAGATTTTATTATTATGGAGTGCCTTGTTTATCTCTCAGTACCTCCAACCATAGCCTTGCCCCTTTATCCTCAACATCAGTGTAGTTGTTGGAAGGAGGTGTCGGACTCAGCAATGTATTTGTTTACATTTTAAATACATGTTTATTGTTCCTCTTTTGCTGTGTTGTTTTAGAAATCGTGGACTAACAGTTTGAAGTCATTGAACTACTTCCAAAAGTTGTATCGACATCAACAGGATTACGATTTCAGTGCAATATGATGCAGGATGACCTTATCACGAAAACCCATCATTATAAACCATTATAAACACAGAATCAACAAAAACATCTGCCACACGCACCTGGTTACATTTCTCAAATAAATCTGATCGAGGGTGATGAGATCTGAAATATCTGAAAGGCAAGCCAATTTTATGACAGAGTCATGAAATTCTGCTACAGCAACATGCACAGAATGACCTCCGTTTAAAAAAAGTATCACCACGGTCCACCACTACGTACTCACATGTTTCCCCGCACAAAGAACATGCATTTTGCCATTTTCTGCAAGAAAAGGCTTGCACATCAATGCGTATAATACGGTATTGATCCCTTGATATGACGTGAAGGCCATCATTTAGTTTAAATTTACATATTGAGATAGGGCATTCCATTGATTGGTGACAGAAAAAACAAAAGAAATTATAGCAATAAAAACTGCTTTATGGCAGTTTTCTAAAAAAAGTTATTGTGTTCTAGTCCATGGACCCCGTCTAAAAAGTAAGAAATTAACGAAATGTGATAGCCGAAAATTAAAATTTCACACAAAACCTCACAATAATCACACACAGAATGAAAAGCTACATGTAGAAGACCTTTTCCCCTCGTGATCCTCTTTCCTATGCATGCATGACATGCATGTTGCCAATTGTTGGTGCAGTACAAGTTTAGGGTTGAAAGCAGCATTTCAAGTGCTGTGATTATTGTGAGGTTTTGTGTGAAATTTTAATTTTCGGCTATCACATTTCGTTAATTTCTTACTTTTTAGACGGGGTCCATGGACTAGAACACAATAACTTTTTTT